TACATAGTTAGTCTGGCTGAAAAAAGACAAAAGTCCATCCAATTCAACCATAGAAAAAAAAAGTTATAATCCTATGCCCACAGTTGATCCAGAGGAAGGCAAAAGTAACCAGCAAAGCATGATCCAATTTGCTCCTGCAGGGCAAAAAAATTCCTTCCTGATCCCCTGAGAGGCAATCAGATATTCCCTGGATCAACTTTACATATAAATGTTATTATCCAGTTATATTCTGTGTATCTAAGAAAGAATCCAGGACTTTTTTTTAAAGCAATCCACTGAGCTGGCCAGAACCAACTCTTGAGGGAATCTATTCCTCATTTTAACAGCTCTTACTGTGAAGAAACCTTTCCGTATTTGGAAATTAAATTTAAATTAAATTTATTTTCTTCCAGACGTAAAGAGTTCCTCCTTGTCCTCTGTGATGACCTCAAGGTGAAAAACTCTACACCGAATTCACTATATGAACCACCGATGTATTTATACATGTTCATCATATCCCCCCCTTATGTATTATACATGGAGATCATATCCCCCCCTTATGTATTATACATGGAGATCATATCCCCCTTATGTATTATACATGGAGATCATATCCCCCCTTAATCTCCTCTTCTCAAGAGAGAATAAATTAAGTTCCTCTAATCTTTCCTCATAGTTGAGCTCCTCCATGCCTCTTATCAGTTTGGTTTCCCCCCTTAACTATATTTATATGTACAAAAACATATATAAATATAATACGTAATTGTTTGGTAAAACATAAAAGATGATGGTACGCTGAATAAATAGATACCAAACATGTCATGGTTTAAAAATTACACAAGCCCGAGCAAAAGATTATGTAAATTTTATTATCCATAGGTGACATTTTAAAAACTTTTACAGGTTACCAGTTTAGATTTACACGTATCGACATGGGACTGACGCGTGCATTTTTTAAATGTATTTATTTATTACATTGTCCCTTTTACATTTTTTTTTTAATCACTTTTTTTTTTCTATCACAAGGAATGTAAACATCCATTGTGATAACAATAAGCGGTGGCAGGTATCTTATTAGACCCCATATCTCTCCTCTGCCCTTAAAAGCTTCGGATCATACCAAGATTGGTGTGATTCAATGTTTTTTTCAAACCAGTAATAGTTTTTTAACATCCAGCAAAACCAGAAGTGACAAATTACTCATCGCATCTGGTTTCTCAGAAAATAGAGATGATCGGGGCCGTTCTGGTCCCTTGTCAGCTCTATGGTCAGCAGCTGCTGGCATCATCCTGGTATAACCACTCAAAGCTGGGCGACGTACATACCTGGTTACACTAACTGTAGCAGTTTAAATGAAGGGAAGGGAGGAAGGTCCACCTTCCATCCCGGTGGAAGCAGGATGCTCCTCCTTCCGAGTGGACATCATATGACGTCCTCTCAGAAGGTGCCAATCGTGCGGATGCAGGGCCACACAGAGGCGTGATCCTTTACCGGCTAGCCGATGACTGATCACTACTCTGGCCTGCTGCCAGTGTCATGTGATCGCTATGACCAATTACAGCAGATCACATGACAATTGTTTACAATGGATGGCTTCATTTCATTCTATCCATTGTATACAATTGTGTTGTTAGCAGTGAGTGGTCACAGCAGTCACATGGTAAAAAACAGGACCACTCACAGCCCATCTGTACCATTTGATGAGCTTTGGCCAATCACAGCTAATCACAACAAAAGACACTGAATCAGTTTCATTCAGTAAAAATGGCTGTTAATATCAATTAAATACATTGGTATAAGCAATCCTAATGTGTAAAAAAAAAAAAAAAAAAAAAAAATCCTGATCCCTTGCCCAGAGTAGTACAATGTTACCATGGCAGCACTGTATTGCTCTGATCACAGTGTGTGAAAAAAAAATAATAAAAAAAAAAAGAATTTTTTTTTTTTTTTTCTACATACTGTCACCAGTCAGTGCCCCTGATCACCGCCACACCAGTTACATGATAACACTGTACTGGACTGGTGACAATATGTGAAAAGAAAATGGTGAGTTTGTTTTTGTATTTCTTCATTGTGACAAACAATTACAACTTCAAAAAACTCGCCATGCCTCTTACTAAATACCTTTGACTGTCTGTTTTCCAAAAATGGGTCATTTGGGAGGGTATTTGTACTATCCCTGCATTTTTGGGCCTCAAGAAATGAGATTGGTTGGCAGAATCAGGATTGATTGATTTGTCAGATATATACCATGGTTTGTGGACTCTATAACTTTCCTACAGATAAATAATATATACTAACTTGGGGTATTTTCACCAAAGAAATGTAACAGAATACATTTTGACCTAAATTTATGAAGAAAGGTAATTTATGTGCAAAATGTTATAACCGAAACTAAGAAAAATGCATTTTTTTCAAAGGTTTTGCCTTTTTTTGTTTAGCAAAAAATTTAAATCTCAGTGGTGATTAAATATCACCAAAAGAAAGCTCTATTTGTGTGGGAAAAAATTATTAAAATTTTTTATGGGTACAGTGTTGCATGACCACGCAATTGTCATTCAAAGTGTGACAAAGCTGAAAATTGGCCTGGACAAGAAGGGGGTAAATGTGTGCCCGGTATTGAAGTGGTTAAAAAAAGTCTACTTTTTTTTTTTTTGTAACCAGTTTCCTTATCTGCGTATTCATTCTGGGTCATTGGCTGAATCGGTATAAAAGCCAATGGGTTGACATAGTGGCCAGCCTACGAGCATTTTCAGAAGAAGGTCAACAACGGGTGTTCTCATATTTCTTTTATGATAGGACAACTATAACTGGAACAACTGATGGCTTATTAGGAACTGCTCCTAAGTGAGTGATCAATTGATTTAGTATTTTATTCATTGATAAAATGTTGGCATCTATAAAATGTAGGTCATAAAACTCACTGAGTAATTCTCGGTGGGCCACGTTCTCCATCTTTTTCTCCATCAACGTCTTTCAGATTAATGTCCCTGCAAGAGTCAAAAATAAACAAAGGTGGAAGCAATTATGTTTGGGTTGCTGTAGGAAACCAGATCACCTACACAATGTAGATCAATGTACATACTCTGCTCAGATATCCAGGAAACAGATCCAAAGAGTCCAGTGGTGTCCATAGTATACCCTTTATTTCCTACGAACCCCAATAGTTAAATTCCTAGTATACTCATCCACATTGGAGTTTTAGACTTTTTACTACTTTTGGCAAGCCACCAGTAATCTTACATGAGAAAAATCGTTGTGTCCTGCTTATATTTCCCATGTCGCACTCTCAATTTAACAGGGGCTTCAGAGGACTTCCAGTCTGCCCAGAAGGAGTAGGAATGCAACGTTTGTGCGGCAATCTGACCGTCCGGTGTCACTCCACGGCAACAGTAAGTGACCAGTTAATAGATTGTTAAAGTGAATGACTGCCTGTTACATAATTAATATTTTTGTCGAATTTTAAATTGGTTTCCATTGGGCAGGTGTATGAAAAGTATAGAGCCGGGGTGTCAATCTCCATTTTATCATGCGTCGTATCAGCATTATGGTTGTCCTCAAAGGGCCAGTTGTATCTGTAAGACTAGATGTCCAGAGCACCCCACCCCCCATTATATTAGATGTCAAGAATCCCACAGCCTCTTAACATCACCGTGCACCCCCTTGGAAGCAGAGCTGAAAAGCAGAAAGTGCAGGGTCTGGAGGAGGACTAGAGGAGGAGTGGAGTCAGTTAACAGAGTCTGCTGAATGCTGAGACCAGGGGAGGCAGAGTTGAGGGGGTGCTGAGCTGCACTGAGAGGTGCAGGATTTGGCAGAGGAGATCTATTCTCTCTGCTGCCAACTGTTGAGACAAAGTGAGGGTGGAGACTAGGGGGTACCTGCAGGAAAGGTGCATGCTCCATATGAAATGGGCTGAAGGGCCGGATTCGGTGCGCGGGCCTTGTGCTTGACACCTGTGGTATAGAGCCTTGAACTAGTGCATGTTTAGAGTAAGTCCTCTCTGACACACAACATATGAAGGTCATGCCTTGGTGGAAAGAAACGTATGCCGATGACACTACGTTCATAGCTGAAATTATAGAGGACCTCGGGAGCCTCATACAAAAAAATTAAAGAGCAGAGTATAAAGAGATAAATATCAAGCTAAATATCAACACAGGACAGACCAGTAACCTCTGAGTTGATTGTGAAGATGTAGTAATAGGCAAGTTTCTGGTTCCTTTGGTCATTTATGAACAATAAAGGATCTTGCAGACCAGCCCTTGGAAGAACATAGATAAAAGACCTAGATAAGATCTTCCAAATTACGAATGTGTCCATTAGTAAAAAGGTCATAATTGTTAAGGTTATGGTATTTTTTTGTCTGTATGGATGTGGAAGATAGACAATAAAGAAGTAAGACGGGAACTATTTTGAAAACCTTTGAACTTTGGTGGAGGCCAGCAGATCCTTCAACAAATCAAGCCCAACCTTCTACTAGAAGCTACACAGTTAGACCTTGAGCCCTCTCTAATCAGCACACCCTTTTTCTTCCTCTGCTATACAAGTCAGTCTACTGGGAGAAGTTTTGGAGATAATTGGACTTTAAAGGGTTTTTCCATAGATCAGTTGACAATCTAATTTTACATAGTAGCCACCACCTGCTGTTGGCTGGTCACTTTCTGCAGGAATCCTGATAGTTTTTTTCCCTCTTTGAGACAATCCCCTGCTATATAAGTCTGGGATGATTCTAGTGATGGGGTGTGGCTGTTACTCAGCTCTGCAAGCACAGAGCTCTGCACTGGGTATGTTTTAGCCTTCAGTTGAGCTGTAAAGTGCTGCTGGCTGGCCACTTTCTGCAGGAACATCCAGTCCTGATCCTTCTTTTTCACGTTAAGATAAACCTACCCATTTAATTTTTTTTTTATTAATGTATTCCCTCACATATGTTTTTTGGGGAGTCTTGGTGTATAACTCAGTTTAAATGTTTTTGTACTATTGCAGCCTGTCTGGAGAGTGCTGGCCTTGCTCTACACCTTGCTGTATCCTCCAGCAGCTCTGGAGGTAAGATCGCCCTCGCAATCAGCCCCAATCTCCAGTTGGCACGGACTCGGAATATGCATGGAGAGGACAGAAGATCGTGTGGAGGGAGACTTCAAAATGGACATCCACAACTACCTCTGACATACGGGTAGGGCTAAAAGACCTGTAATAGTCAACCAGCTGGTGGCATGGATTACTGCACAGGTCTGGAAGACATACACAAAGCACACGAGGATGCAAGGAAGAATACACATGGTTCCTGAATTTAGACATTATTTGCTTATTCTGGAATTCAGCTTTAAGACACATAGGCCAGTGGAGGGCCAGGGCAGGGGTGGGCAGAAGAGACAGTTGCCCTGGGCACAGCGGAGCAATGGGGCAGAGATTGGGACACAGGACAGGAATTCCATTCTACAGCATGCATTAACAGTGGGGGAGGGGCACAGTTAATCCTTGCCCTGGGTGTTAGACAAACCTGTCTCGATACTGGGCCGTTGCCTAGGGCTGCAGGGTTAGAGGGGGCAGCAACCAGCTTAAAATCTAAAAATGGTGCTAACCTTCTCAGTATTTTTAACTCCTCTTTCTGAATGTACAGAGGCAGCCAGAGAAGTGCCGGATAAGGGATTGTGGGGATGCTGAGGAGTCCTATGGCTCTTTACAGCTCGGGAAATATGACATCAGCTCTCTTTCCTCCAGTTTGGTGGGTTCTTTAGCTGAAAGTCCTGCATATAAAGAAGACTCCATGCTGTCCCAAGTGACCCACCTGAGGTCTAAATATAGTCCTGGCATCAGGGAGGTTCTCAATCCTTGACGCATGTTGTACAAGAGGCATTGGCTTCTGCTGCAGCATTGAGCTAAGCTCCACCCCTGCACTTCACCAATCCAGTGAGAAAATCTCTACTGGCTCTTCTTATTGGATTACTGAACTGCAGGGGCAGGGCTTATCTCTGAGTCCTGCTGAGGTCTCTGTACGGTATACTGTACATCTGAGATTGAGGACTTTCATTCTTCCACAGAATTTAAATAAAACATTTTTGACCCCGGAGATACTTTTTTTTTTTTTTTTTTTTTTTTTTTTTTTAAGTGGGATCTTTGGATGTATTTCTTTGAGAGGTCATATATCCATTTTAGTCCTTTTTTTTTTTTTTTCTCCACAACAAATCATAGGCACTTTTCCAGGTGCTCATACCATATATTTTGAATGTTTTCCTTGCTCTACAGGCCAATCCCTCAGATAGCAGAAATGGAGCGTCGGCTACGGGAAGCCATGGCAGAGAAAGAGCGCCTCCTGAAGGCCAGGGTGAGTACATTTATGTACCCAGTAGGTCTGGGCACTTTTTCATTTGTTTAAAATTTCAAATAAACATAGTTAAAACCAAAATGTTTTTCATGTTTTGGATACAATGGGGGAAGGTTTAGAGCCCCGTGCAGGTTTCTATTGCTGTTGATGTCCCCGTTGGGGAGATTCATCCTCTCTTCTTCTCCTGACGACCGTTGTTTGCATCAGGGCTGACGGCTCTTGAGAAAGGTACTGTGGCAGGGTGCTGTGAGGTTTTCAGGAATCCATGTACAGCACCCTGCCAGCCCGTCCTACCAGCCATGATCTACCTGCTTTGCATAGAGAACCACAGAGATCCCGTGATGTTAATCGGTCTAAATAAGATGTGTAATGAAAACAGATTTTTTTTTTTTAAATGTCATCAGCATGTTGATGAGGGGGAAAAGGAGGAACCAGGGAAGGCAAAATATAAGCAGATTAAACTTTGTATTGGCTGAACTTTATTGACTTTTTTTTTCAACTAGACAAATTTTGCATCAATAAAATATAAGGGAATTTTTGATTTTTAAGGGTAAATAAAAAAAAAAACCTAGTGGCCCCATACATTGACACCTTGACTTTTAATAGCTTCATGGGGCATAAGTGTGAGAAAAAATGACAGTTCCCTTCCCCTTTAACAGCAGTCCTCCTCCATGCAGTCATCCAATGCAGCCGGCTGACCTGCCTGTCACATGACTGTTACTAAATTGCTTCTGCTTTCGGAAGGCGAGCCTCCAGCTCCGGCTCTGCGTTCTCAGACACATTCAGTTGCTATACGGAGCAGGTATGAGACATGCCGGGGTCGTGTGGGTTATGGTGAGTGTACACGGAGGGCTTGTATGCAGGCATCCTCCATGCATGCGTGTGTACATACATGTAGACATTGTACATAGATGACTTGAGGAAGGGATCTTATAGGAGTTTAGAGTTTGTTAATGGACTTCGCCTTTGTTTGTGGGCAATGTTGGCCTTTTACAGGAGCAGAAGAACTGGTTTTTCATGTTTGCTTAGGGCTTAGCTGCAATGGAGATCGCCAGTGACAGAGGCGGAGGGGATATAGTCCATTACACATAATTTATTAGGATTTTCATTTTTTTAAGGCCAGTCCACCCAGAAATTTGATATTTTGAAGTAAGCAAAAATTGTCAGGTCGTCAGAACACTGAGTGAGGTGGACTAATGCAGTACAGCAATGCATAGGCCCGGCACAGGAGCCCCGACCGAGCAGGTGGGGTTCTCATATACAATTCAAGACCTAAACGGTCAGTCCAAGCAAAACTGAATTTTGCCTGTTTTTGTAGATGCTGATGCAGTAAACATACTGACTGTCTCTTCTAATTGTCTGGGATACTATTGGTGATATTTCTTCACTGAATTCCTGAATCTGTACATCTACTGTGTCCTTTATGGGGTCTCCCACCAACCCTGTGCTGAGTTCCTGGGTTTACAAATTTGTTGTGGTCATTATGAGTGGTTACCACCATCCCTGCTCTGGGTTCCTGGGTCTGAACACCTGCAGGGCCCATCATGAGGGGGTTTCACCTTCCCTGCTCTGGGTTCCTGGGTCTGAACACCTACAGGGCCCATCATGAGGGTTTTACCTTCCCTGCTCTGTGTTCCTGGGTCTGAACACCTGCAGGGCCCATCATGAGGGGTTTTACCTTCCCTGCTCTGGGTTCCTGGGTCTGAACACCTGCAGGGCCCATCATGAGGGGGTTTCACCTTCCCTGCTCTGGGTTCCTGGGTCTGAACACCTGCAGGGCCCATCATGAGGGGTTTTCCCCTTCCCTGCTCTGGTTTCCTGGGTCTGAACACCTGCAGGGCCCATCATGAGGGGTTTTCACCTTCCCTGCTCTGGTTTCCTGGGTCTGAACACCTGCAGGGCCCATCATGAGGGGTTTTCCCCTTCCCTGCTCTGGTTTCCTGGGTCTGAACACCTGCAGGGCCCATCATGAGGGGTTTTTCACCTTCCCTGCTCTGGTTTCCTGGGTCTGAACACCTGCAGGGCCCATCATGAGGGGTTTTCACCTTCCCTGCTCTGGTTTCCTGGGTCTGAACACCTGCAGGGCCCATCATGAGGGGGTTTCACTTTCCCTGCTCTGGTTGCCTGGGTCTGAAACCTACTGGGCCCATCATGAGGGGTTTTCACCTTCCCTGCTCTGGGTTCCTGGGTCTGAACACCTGCAGGGTCCATCATGAGGGGTTTTCACCATCCCTGCTCTGGGTTCCTGGGTCTAAACACCTGCAGGGCCCATCATGAGGGGTTTTACCTTCCCTGCTCTGGGTTCCTGGGTCTGAACACTCAACGGTCAGTCCAAGCAAAACTGAATTTTGCCTATTTTTGTGGATGCTGATGCAGTAAACATTCTGACTCTTCTAATTGTCTGGGATACTATTGGTGATATTTCTTCACTGAATTCCTGGGTCTGTACATCTACTGTGTCCATTATGGGGGCTCCCACCATCCCTGTGCTGAGTTCCTGGGTTTACAAATTTGTTGTGATCATTATGAGTGGTTACCACCATCCCTGCTCTGGGTTCCTGGGTCTGAACACCTGCAGGGCCCATCATGAGGGGTTTTCACCTTCCCTGCTCTGGGTTCCTGGGTCTGAACACCTGCAGGGCCCATCATGAGGGGGATCTTAATACCTGTTGTACTCATTGTAAGGGTTCCCGCCATCCCTGTGCTGAGTTCCTGAGATTGCAAATTTGTGGTGGCCTTTCCTTGCACTGAATTCCAGGATCTGTACAATCTGAGCGGCTCCTACTGAGTTCCTGGGTCTGTGCACCTGCTGTACCTAATATGAGGGGTTCCCACCATCTCTGCACTGAGTTCCTGGGTCTGTGCACCTGCTGAGAGGGTTCCCACCATCTGTGCACTGAGTTCCTGGGTCTGTACACCTGCTGTGGCCATTTTGAGGGGTTTCCATCATCCCTGCACTGGTTTCCAGGTCTGTACCCCTGCTATGACCATTAAGAGGGGTTTCCATCATCTCTGCACTGAGTTTCTAGGTCTGTACCCCTGCTATGACCATTAAGAGGGGTTCCTACCATCCCTTTTTCTGAGTTCCCAGGTCTGTGCACCTGCTTTGAGGGGTTCCCACTATCCCTGCTCTGACTTCCCAGGCATGAACACATGCTATGACCATTATGAGGGGTTCCAACCATCCCTGCTGTGGGTTCCTGTGTCTGTACACCTGTTGTACCTAATATGAGGGGTTTCCACCATCCCTGCTGAATTTTGCATGTAGTGTATATTATAGAAAAGGTAACAGGAGGAGTGTCACAAAACGTTTGGTGAAAGCACCCCAAACTCGGTCTACTAAGCTCAAACTATATCTAAAATTTGATTATGGGTGGATTTGTTCCTTTAGGCCCTATTTGCATATCTAAGGTGCATTGTGGGTATTGTGCATTTTGCATTTGTTACCATTGAACTCTGTCACAAGAGTTTTGATGAAAACTGCATCAAAGATGCAACAAGCTGGACCCAATGCACCATATCTACTGTACACTTAAAAAGCACAGATGTAGATAGGTAGGTATCCATAGACCCACCATGACAGTGCCACAGTCCAGCCCTTTTCACTTGGACCTTGTAACTACCTTATGTAGAAATCCTGCCAGATCAGTGTTGTGCCCCGACATAAGCAGTGCTGGCAGCTTTTCCCCTTCTCTGCTTTCCAGCATAACTATTGGCTGAAAAGAACATTCCTTTTTATGGACGCACCATCCGGGCCCCGAGGACAGTCAGATCACGCACGCACCACTGACCAATCCATTCTGGGTTTATGGAAGGCCTTAAAGCTGCACCCCAGGCTCCAAAAACTTTATTTAAATATATTCCCACAAAATGTACAAACCCACTTTTTTTGCATTACATGCCTTTGCAAACACAGATATTACCTTGTAAAATTAGCATTGATATCACTGTGCTGTACATAGTCTTTTCAGAGCTGCGGAAGGGACCCAATGGGCTGCACCCACTGCAGGCTTCAGAAAACTCAAAGAGGGGGCAGATACCAGACGGGTCTTAGAGGGTTTTGGGGATAAAAGTAGAGTTGTCTGTCATTCCTTTTTTTTTTTCCAGGGGTGGACTGACCATTTGGAAACTCGGGCACTGCCCGAGGGCCCGGGGTCAGTAGGGGGCCCCATGAGATGCCCCTGGTACCTTTTTCATAGACTTTTTTGAGTTTGGGCAAGGACACAGGGGCCCCATGATCCCCTATTGCCCCACGAGTTGTCCGTCCGCCCCTGTTTGTGTTACTTTGTTTTGCGATTAACAATTGCTCGTGTAGTTATGGCCCAAATAGAAGGCTCCTTTAAAACTAGTGGTAGTGTTTGTCACCCCTCTAAAAAGCGATCTGTGGTGATAGGAGGTTTGCATGCGTTCAGGAGGTAATACTGCTGCCTCTTGATGTCTGTTTTTATTTTTTGTTTATAGCAGAACAGTAATTTTGCATTTCAGGAACATGCTGCGTCTGCAAACCAAGCTTTCGGCTCATGGCTGCAGTGCGGCCCCATTCACTTACATGTGGGAGTTTGACAGATGGTGCCCCCTGTCAGACTTTCTATGTACTGCTATAAAGGCCATGGCAATGTATACACCTGAGCAGCACCATGTTCACTTGTAGGTGGGCATTTGGGGATGGAGCAGTAAAAAAAAACTTCTTAGAATTTCTTCATTGCCAGCTGTTCAGATACTTTCCAGGGCAAACATCACAAGGCTCTTGTATTAGCCAGATGCTCTCTGCCCTATAGCAGAAATACTGCTACAGGGCAGCAGGGCTGTGCAAAGTCCTACATACAGTTGTGACCAAAATTATTCAACCCCCACTGAAATTGAGTGTTTTGGCCAGTTTGACATTGCTTTTGATCATTCAGTCATCTTGCTTACATTTACATTAAAGAGGCACTTGTAGGTCAGACAAATATAACATAACAGTTATAATGAAATAACCACAAATGTCTTTTCTGTGCTCA